ATTTAAATTGTTCCTGTCTACAATCTGTAATACATTCTGGCTTTAAATAAACCAAAAAAGGGATGATAAGTTGTGAAAACAAATCAGTTAATATAAATTGTTACACTTTGCAGTAGTTATCAGTCAGTTAAGTGCCATGCGCGATACACACTTAGGTGATCATGTATCTTTCGATATATGACTGCCAAGGCAGATCTTTTCCTGCATTAGGTTGCCATTTCTTTCTGTAGTAGACCAGTTGCCATCCAAGACTATAGAACCCAGTCTGTCCTGCTATTTACCCATAGCTGGGGGAGAAGAGGATTCATTCCTTTCCCAAGGGTATTAGCATATAAGTGAATGTAATGGATTTGACTGGAATTTGAACTCGGCTCAAGAAATGATTTGAGTTTCTCATGAGTTTTTACTCAAGAACTAAACATAACATTCTACCACCCGCAGCAGTCTTTTAACTATTTTATGGCTCAGAGTTAATCGAAGAACAAACCCCAAGTCCATTCATAGGTCGGACTTTCTTTCAGTCAAATGCTTGTGGTTTAAAATTGCTCTTCAGCCAGATCATTTCCCACAAGTGAATAACAAAACAGTTTCTAGCAGTAAACCAGATTTTATTTTTAGGTAGTAACTTACTGCCATAAGCGAGCAATATAAGGTTCAGGTGTAAGTGAGGGTTGGGGGTGGGGTCACAGTTCAGCGGTCAGCGTCTATGTCCTCCTGCAAGGCCCACTTCGTTCCTTCTGTTTTCCTTTGTTCAGTTTTATAGGCAACAATTTTCTTGTCTTGTCATCTTCATTTTCATCTAAAAAAGTAATTAATCTTCCTTCCATTACTTTCTCTCATTCTGAGCCTCTTGTACTTGTTGGCTTCTATTACTGATAGCCATTGTGGGTTTGTTATATTTTTTTATGCATAAATACCTTTGGGAGAAGTATGAATCCACCTCTTCTCCCCCCCCAGCTATGGGTTAATTAGTAAAACTTGTAAATTTTTACAATTTAAAAATATTTTCTGGCTTTAAATAACCTTCAAAGAAAATGAATGAATCAATCAATAACCTGCCATAGAAAATGAATGAATGATTCGATCAACCTTACATTTTAGTAACGCATTATTGCAGATAATGAAAAGTGGGTTTTGTATGTCAACAAAGAATGAAAATGACAGTGGTTATCACAAAATGAAAAACCAGTGCCAATATCAATAGCAGGACTCCATCATAAATGCTCTGATTGATTGAGTAAACAATGAATGACTTTAAAAGTGTCCTTCTTTGGTAAACAGGAAAGCTGTTATTGTTCAGCACACTGCAGAAACATTAAAAATATTTTACAGTTCAATTATCCAATAATTATTACCTTTAACAAGTATTAAATTTTGTCTAATATTTTCATTTTGATTGTTGATTGTTTTTATCATAAAATTTTTCAAGTTAAATACTTCCACTGGCCATTAAAGTAAATAGCATGAAGACAAAGATCAAGTAGAAGTTCCTGATGAGATTTGAACTCTATTCCATGAAGATATGTTTCATGGATGATGCCTTAACTTATTTGGACAGAGAAATATGCACTCCACCATTCAAAGAAAGAATAAGTTAGGAGGTTCTGATAAAAAATCAAATGGTCAAATACTTAATAAGAAAATTATTGGAGAGAAAGTGAAAAAGAAAGAAAGAGAACAAGAGAGAAAGAAAGATAATGTGAAAGTATGAGAAAAGAGAATGACAATAAATGAGAATGAATGAGAATGAAAAAGAGCAAGAGGGAATGAAAAAGAAAAAGAACATGAAAGTATGAGAAAGGAGGAGGACAAGAATGAATGTTCTCACAAATAATTGATACCATGATTATACCCCTTCAAAAAAATTCCCAAACATAAGTCTATCAAGATAGTTGTCAACACCTCATAAAAACACACCTCTATTTTCAAAAATATTTTTCTATGATATTTTCAATTAAAAGTAAGTAATATTTTTTTCAAATCAGTTAAACTTTAAATCAGTTAATCTTCCCCAAATAAAGTATATTTTATTTTTGAAATATACACACACAAGAAACAAAACAAACCCAAGAAAAAAAAATATATATTTTTAGGATGGGAGTCATTTTTTTTTTTTTACAGCCTCCATCCTCATTAGATTTAGCAACAATCGATATTTATTTGTTTCCATCACTAGAACATTTCAAAGTTCCATAACATTCAGAAATAAAGAAATTGAAAAGTCTTCTTTTAATCATTTTACCCCATGCTAGGCAGTAAAGGAGTTACTGAGTTTGAAAGAATAAGAAAAAAAGAAAAACATTATTAAGGAGTGAGAACAATAAAAGAGTAATTAAAAAAATAGTAGTAATGATTGACATTGCGTTTACATTTTGAAGATAAAATTGGCTGGAGAACATGGAGCCAGAAGAGAGTTCCACAAGCGAGAAGTGCAAGAAAAGAAACTGTTAGCATAGAACTTACAGTTACATCTAACCATTTCAACTAAAATGATGAGAAATTGCTGTCAATCTCGTACTGAATTTAAATTTATAAAGTCCATGATACCATAGTGAAGAGTTAATCTGGACAATTACCATGAAAGTATTTATACAAAAGGTACAGGGAAGTTATGTTACAGTGGTGAGAAAGTGATTGAAGCTGAGATGCCAGATCAGGATCAATAATATTGCTAATTTTTCTTTAGATTTTATCAAAAATCACTAAATATATAGCAGGACCACTGGACCATATGTAGCAGCAATATTCAAAGCCGGTCTGACCTGTTATTTACCCATAGCTGGGGAAGAAGATGGGTGAACTAATATAACCAAATAAAAATAACAGATTTCTATAAACATGGGTTTGAACCTTTGCTTTTGTGTTGGCTTGTTGTTTAAAAGGAAGTTGATGATAATTTTGATGAATAATATTTAAATAAATTTAACTTCTATTTGTTTTTATATCATTTCTGGTAAAATATAATTACTTTCTGAGCACCCTAATGCTTAATGTCATAATTCTTAGATACAAGTGTTCTAATTTTTGTAAGTGTCAGATGGTAAAATCTAGGTTATAGACAATGTTGATTTCCTCTCTGTTCTAAAAATGCCCAAGAGATCTTAATTTTCCAAGAAAACTTCTAGGAATATATATTTTGGCAAAGAAAAATAAATACTGATCATAAGATCATGTTAAGGAGTGCCTTAAGTATTTCATCTAACATTATTTTTTTTTTTTTTTATGCAAAAGTTACACTTTTCATTTATCATTCTTTGTGTGTGTGCATTTGTGTACACATTACATAATAGCTATATTCTGTCAGTAATATTTGCATTGATTCCTGACCAATGACAATTCCTTTTTCTGATTTCAAAGCATTTCTATGATGAAAATCATTTGAAATGTCTTTCTATAATAAAATCATTAACAATGCATTTATATTAATCACATTATAGTCATCTTCTATAAGTATTGTTTACATTAATTCATGACCACCAAAACTTTGTTTTTGATTTTCATTACACAACAAAAGAACTATAATTGTAAAAAGTGTTCAATTATAAAATGCTACCAACAGATTTAGTTTGTTAGTGCAGAAAATAAATGACTAAAGCTAATCATGAGGGAGTAAAGTTTTTAGGAAGTGATGGTGTTAAATTGATTTGTTTTTTATGGCTTTGTGGAGTAGTGGATAGCAGCTCAGATTGAGGAATTGGAGAGCCGAGTTCGAATTCTAGTTGAATCCATTACATTCACTTATGTGTTAATACCCTTGGGAAAGGTATGAATCCTCATCTTCTCCCTCAGCTATGGGTAAATAGCATGTCAGACCAGGTTCTATAGCTTTGGATGGCAAATGGTCTACTGCAGAAAGAAATGACAACCTACTGCGGGAAAAAATCTGCCTCATCAGTCATGTATTGAAAGAAACATGATTGCCTAAGTGTGTATCCCACATGGCACATAACTGACTGACTGGGTTATTTAAAACCAAAACCTATTTTGGATTTTAATTTTTTGTGAGTAAATAGTGTATTAACAATTTAAAAATAAAAGTAACAAAGATTTTTCTCCAGATACAATTTCCACTATTTAACCTATAGTTGGGGGGAAATGGATTCATACCTTTTTCAAGGGTATTTGCACATAAGTGAATGTAACAAACTGACTGGAATTTGAACTCAGCTCTTCGATTTTTCATTCTAAGTTGTTAGCCATTACACCACCTGCACGTCCAGGAAGTGATGGTAATTTGTAACTTTGTATGTGTGCCTCATATTCAAATGCAGCTATTGCTAAAAAAAAAAGATGTACAATTGTAATTATTGTTGTATTTCTCTCCTCTATACTGTCAATATTTATGTCATTTTATATACATCCATTCGAGTAAATTAAAGTTTTGATGTATTTGTTGTGATATTGCAGGTGACATAAAGAGGATTAAAATAATTTGCAATACATTTTGTTATGTGTGTGTTATCACTGGAATATATTCTTCTTCTATGTGATGTGTCCTTTCAGAATGTGGGTACTCATGGTCCTCCACAACATAGTCTACCCTGTTATTTAAACTACAGGGACATGACTTATAAAAGAAGTATGAAAGATATAGTGCAGGGAAAATTGTAGATATATACTGTATTCTTCTGTGTTCAAATCGATTAAGTTGCCATCTATGCAAAACAAACTCCAGGGTTGTGGGTTCAAGTCATGTTGTAGCTTTTCTTATTTTTGTTTCACACTGCTTACTTTAATAGTTTGAAAGCATTTTATCTAGAATAACTACAATGGAAAGCATGAATGTGGAGAAAAACAAATAGAGAATAAAAAAAATTAATTACTTCATCTGAATTCAAATAACAAGAATTTTTTATATATATATATATATATATATATATATATATATATATATATATATATATATATAATCTTAATATTTTTTTATTATGTGAAACATTGTCAACCATTATTTTTGACAAGTTCTTTTCTCTCTTGCCCCATCTTCCTCCATCACCTAGTCTTTGGTTCTCTTTTCCCCACTTCTTGCTTTTCTTCTCTCTCTTATCCCACCCCTTCAGTCAGATATTACTTTTATCCCCCCCACCTTCTCTTCTCTCTTCATCTCCCCTACCCAGATTTTGCTTCTCTTCCCTGTCACTCAGTTTTCACTTCTCTTCTTGTCACCCCTATCATCCTTGCTTTTTTTCTCTTCTCTCTTCACCCCCATCATCATCCAGTCTTTGCTTCTTTCTTTGCTCCCTATCCCCTCAGTGAGTCTTTACTTCTCTTCTCTCTTCTTGCACTCTCATCACTCTGTCTTTTTTTCTCTTTTTTTGCACCCCCCCACCATCTTTGTGTCTCTTTTCTCAATTTTTACTTCTCTTTGCACAACTATCACTCAGTCTTTGTTTCTCTTCTCTTTTGCTCCTCCTACTCCAAGTCATTGCTTCTCTTCTCTGTTCACCAATCCTATTAACCAGTCTTTCTTTGCACCCCCACCTTGTCCCACAGTTTTTTCTTCTCACCACTCTGTTTTTGCGTCTTTTCTCTTACCACTATATCCCCTACTGGATCTCTCTCTTATTCAACTTGCCCTACTTAGGTTTTACTTTTTTAAATATTGCTTACAGGTTATTATGTTCTGTGTATATTTATTTATTTTTCTATCAAGAACTTGGCCAGAGAAACTGTGTGTGTGTGTGTATATATATATATATATATATATATAAGAATATAAGAGAAACATGAAGAACATATTAATATATTTACAAGGACAAACTTCTGTTGGCTTTGTAAATATATATGCACATTGATATGGACATTTAAGTTTAACAGGTGGGTGGGTGCCATTCGTGAATATCCATATTTGAGTAGATGCTTTGTTTTTTTTTTTTTGTTTTTTTCTTTTCATTTTAAAGCATATTTATTTTGTCTCCTGACCTGCACACTCAAGAAACTTTATTAAAGAAAATAATGCACTCTGGCAGGATCCAAATCTGTATCCTGTTTTGCAAGAAAAACCATCATCTGATCTGGTGTGTTTTAACTACTTGGCTAACAAGAGCTTCACAATTAAGCAAAGTTTTATTTGCCTTTAAAGCAAGTACCTTGAAAGAAATATGATATATAAAACTTCAAATGATTTTTTTTAAAAATGAAAAATCTTTCTTGAAGTTTTTATTTTAGCTTTAATTTCAAGCTAATAGATTAAATTTAATATTTCCAATAAGCAAAATACTTTTTCACATTTCAAAAACAAATTTAAGTTGATTGGACTGATGTTGATGTTTTTTAAATTGCTAAAAATGGCTGATTTCAGCTGATTTGCAAATCTGTCAGCAAAACGTAATTCTCTTTTATTAAAAAATATTTAAGAAATAAAATATACTTGAGGAAGATTAGCTGATTTAAAGTTTAATTGATTTGAAACAAATATTACTTACTTTTAATTGAAAATATCACAGAAAAATATTTTTGAAAATGGAGGTGGGTGTTTTTATGAGGTGTTGACAACTATCTTGATAGACTTATGTTTGGGAATTTTTTTGAAGGGGTATAATCATTGTAACAATTATTTGTGAGAACATTCATTCTTGTCCTCCTCCTTTCTCATACTTTCATGTTCTCTTGTTTTTTTCATTCTCACTCATTCTCATTTATTTTTGAAAAATTTTATGATAAAAAAAAACAACAATCAAAAGGAAAATATTAGACAAAATTTAATACTTGTAAAGGTAATAATTGTTTGATAATTGAACTGTAAAATATTTTTAATGTTTCTACAGTTATTCAAGTCATTCGCACAACATTCTGATGTCATGTAATAGGGAGTGTTTTTATATATATATATATATACGGAAATAGAAAGGAAAATAAATATGGAAATGGTTGATAGAAGAACAGGATTTAAAAAAAGTATTATGTATGTTAGCCTTGTTTTCTTACATTTGTCATTGATTCAAGTCAATTGAGGACAGTTTCAAGACTTTAAAGGCAAAGAGACCGGATGCAATTTGTATGCCTTGTCAGAACAAGGAACTATATTTCAAAATAAAACGCTGACCCCTGATCCTAGGATGGATGGAACATATATGGTTGAAACCTTGTGATAAATAAAACAATAAATGGTAAAGAAATTACTTCAAATAAAGTAAAAAAAAAAGTGCATCATATTATCAAATTATCATTTTTTTAATCATTTCACTCTATGCAAGGCAATAAAGCCACTAAGACACAAGAGGTTATTCAGTTTGAAAGAATAAAAAAAAAGAGAAACATAAAGGTGTGAGAGCAACAGAAGAGTAATCAGGAAGACAGTAGATAACAATTGACATTACATTTAAATTTCTGAAAATCAAAGTTGGCTAGAGAGCATCGAGCTGGCAGAGAGTTCCACAAGTGAGAAGTGTGAGAGAAGAAACTGTTAGCATAGAACTTATGGTTACATCTAGCCAATTCAACTGTAATTTTTTGTTTTTAGCTAATTGTTGTGGCCTTGTTAGGGCCAGAAATAAAGACATAAAGAGAGGAATTGAGTTAAATATATGAACAGAAACAATAATACAAACATATACAAATGAGTGTTACAGCAAGAATGTTCAGTCCAACTGTCAGAGCTGACTGCTGGAAACTTCCCTCTCCAAAAGGCAGAACCTGCTCCTATTTATAAGCTGGGAGAGCCCATCTGTATGTGGGTAAATTACCATAACACTAATCTAGTACTGTACTTAAATTCATAAAATCTAGGTACCATGGGAAAGAGTTCATCTGAACAATTACCATGAAAGTATAGAAAAGACACCAGGAAGCTGTATTATGGTGATGGGGAAAGTGGCTAACACCAAGATGCCAGGTCAGGACCAATAATATTGCTGATTCTTTGGAGGATTTATCAATAATCACTAAATATATAACAGAAGCACCACACCATATTTGACAGCAACATTCAAAGCATGGCTGAATGGTAAACTTGTAGATATGTAAAATAGATTTTGAAGAGAAAATTTGTCTAGCACGATACAGTGAACCAAGTTTCTTAGCAGCAGACCTTATAATTGATTCAATATAGACTTTCTGCTCCATGTCAACTGAGAATGTTAGCCTGAGAAGATCCAGCAAGTTATTCTCCTGGAGGTTAGCATCAGCCATGGTGATGGAAGGCAGAAAACTGTCTCTCAGATTATTAATAGAGCAGTCTCATTTTGCTGACATTAAAATTAACAATCAATTCCTTACCCTAGTTAACAGCAGATTGTAAGCCATTTTTGAGATCAACTGCTAATTTGACCTTTTTGAACTGATCAGACTTACTATTGAAATAGGAGTAAATGGTGTTGTCATAAGCATAGATACTAAGTTGAGAACTGATACCACCAGGAAGGTCATTGATGAAAATTAAGATGAAAGTAGGTACAAGGATGGAGACCTAGAAGACACCTGCATCAGGACAATTTTCATTTCTCATCCTGAGTATGACAATAAACTACATCCGTGTCCTGGGTAAGACTATAAACTATGTCCAACAGCAAGGCCTCTGATCAAAAGGTTTTGAGGAGCTTGGAACCACCTCTTAATTGCTGGTGCTCCCAGGTCCACCCTGACCCGGGGTGGTAACACCTGTTAGGGTCCCAGCTGTGGGCAAATAGTTAACAACAAAACTTGTGTAAAAATAGGTTTTAATACCAGAAATACTTTGTAATAATAAAAAATTACTACCAGCAATAATTTTTGAAGGAAAAATTATTATCAGCAATACTTAAAAAAAAAAAAAAAAAAAAAAAAAAATACCAGTAATACAAACAGTTATACATTCTTTGAAAAAAATATGACCAGCTATAGATTTCTTCAAGGAAAAATATTCTCAGAAATTGATTTTTGAAGAAAAACATATTACCAGCAATAAAAATTTTGTCGGTATTAAATAACCCATTGAGGTTGATATGCCATAAAACAAAACAAACCAAACAACTTTTATTTCTTGAAGTGTTGCTAACCATTACAACACAAACACACATTCTATCAAATTGTCCAGGAAGGACTCTGTAAATTATATATACAGTAGTTCCTCTATTTTCCAAACTTCAATTATTTGAACATGAAATGAAGAGAAAAATTGAAATTATCTGAACGAAACCCATTCTAATATTTAATCTCAGACAAGTGATTTGAGAATTTAGAAAATCATGTATTTTGAGCAATTTGAAACGTTAAACATTGATGTAAATGAAGCAAAAAATAAATGACTAGTTCAATATAGATGATGCTGGGTATGGATACCCAAGTGACCAGGGTATTGTTGAACTTAGAACTGCACCAGAAAATATTGAAGAAAAAGATGATAATATTACCTACTAGACTATCTGTGACCCATTGAGTCATCGACACTTCAGGTTATAAAACATCTGTCGGAGTTAGCTCCTCTTTAATTCCCTAATTGTTCACTAGGGGTCACTCTCCCTACACTATAAATACTGGGCGACTGTTCTCTTTTTTCACTTTGCATTTCAGCGGACACATTTAAGAATGTAATCTCTCATAGAGATCTGCGTTTTACCCACTTCTGGGAAAACGCCATGAAACACACATACACATATGTACGAACATTCACCAAAATACAAACTCTTTATGTTCACACACACACACAAATGTTAATGTCTTGTCACTTGTAAATTTGTTGTTTAATACATATATTTGTTGACATATATATATCGGTCTTGTTTGTTTTCTTTACATCTTCAGTTAGACTCAACTTGAGTTCGCCATTTTCTTGTAGTTGGATGTTCTAGCAGGAATAAACAGCACATGTTCCTAATTCAACAACACCCCCCAGTCCTCTACACATCCTATTCAAATGAAAGTTAATTTTATTATAATTCAGTTAAATATTTCAATCTATTTGTGTCATCATAGGTCTACTTTACAAGATCATATTTAACATTTTACTGATTGTTTATAGCATTTAATAGGAACAGAACTTCAGGGATAAACTTGAACTTTGAAGATTAACTTGAAAATATTTTTTTAAATATGCCAAAAATATTTTTTAAATGTTTAAAATATTGTTTGTTTAAAGAAAGCTGAAATATAAATAATTTCTCTACAAACAACTGGATGAAACAGCAAAGCGGGATCTCTTTGTGCCTGTCTTTAACTTAAAACTTTTTTAATTAAAAAATTATCTGTTTGAAGAAAGTTAAAATAAAAAAAAATACTGTATGAACAACTTGTAAGTTATTATGTGCATGCAATGACAGACTTTTAGTATTATATATACATAGATAGATGTTGATGTTCAACAGCCCCAATACCCAATTTCAAACACTGAAGCAATAATTATGTTTGACAAATATTTAAGTTGGTTGCCATTTCCCCTAAAATCAGACTTTACAAATACATCTACTTTAATCCAGCTTTGGGAGTTAGTGGCAGAAAATGTAAGGCCAACTTGAAACAAACAAAAATTGACACATTTTTTTCATAAAAAATAAACGAGACAAATCCTTGAACAAAACATTTGAAAATATTTTTTGATGATATAAATATTATATTTCTTTCAGAAAATGACTTATTTTTTTATTGTTTTTGTCATGTATTCAATTATCCAAAATTTTTAATTATTTGAACATATTTTCTCAATTCATGTCCTAATGTGTCTAGATAAATAAAGAATTACTGGACTATAAACTGGTTCACTCAAAGTTGACAATAGGTGTAATGAATTTTTATTAATTAATGCTTAGACAGTAGATATTGGAGAGTGCTTTGCTGAGATTCTTATTTATCTAATCTTTTTCATTGTGACCTACTAGAAACAAAATATTCTTGCCAACGTATTTGGTGATGGGTGAACACAGGTAAAAATGTATTCATGCCTTTCCTAATTCAAACTCAGAAGTAAAGAGCACAACAATGAAAAAGAACAGTATATTATTCTTTTTATTGTTTAAGAAAACTGGAAATGTTTTTCTTGTTATAATTATCCTTTTCTTTACATTTTTCTCCTTTTTCTTTCTTTTCTTTTTTTCTTTTCCTTTCCTTTTCTTTTCCTTTTCTTTTCTCTTCCTTTTCTTTTCTCTTCCTTTTCTTTTCTCTTCCTTTTCTTTTCTCTTCCTTTTCTTTTCTCTTCCTTTTCTTTTCCTTTACTTTTCTCTTCCTTTTCTTTTCCTTTACTTTTCTCTTCCTTTTCTTTTCCTTTACTTTTCTCTTCCTCTTCCTTTCCTCTTCTTTTCTTTTCCTTTACTTTTCTTTTCCTTTCCTTTTCTTTTCCTTTCCTTTTCTTTTCCTTTACTTTTCTTTTCCTTTACTTTTCTTTTCCTTTCCTTTTCTTTTCCTTTACTTTTCCTTTTCTTTTTTCTATTTCTGTTTTCTTTATTTCTTTTTCACTTCTTCTATTTTTCTCTTTTTCAATTAATATTTCTCCTTCTCCTCTTTCTCTTTTTCCTTTTTCTCTTTTTCTTTTCATTTTTCTATTTCTTTTTTTCCTTTTTTCTCTTTTCTCCTCTTATTTTTTACATTTCTTTTTCTCTTTTCGACTTCTGTTTCTTTGTTTTACTTTTTTTCTGTTTCTATTTCTCTTTTCTTTTTTAAATATTGGTATAAGAAGAAAACTTTCCAAATAAAATTAACTCCCATACAACATTTAATAAGAATATTATATAACACTAAAAAATTAGATGAGTGTACTGTAGATTGTTTGAAGGACAAAAAATACTTGTGACCTGAAGGTTTTGTTCTGAGATGTGATGTGATAATTATCTACAGAGGTGGCTCAGTTTAACATTTAAGACTTCTTTGACCCATTCTTTGTATCGTTGTAATTTGTTAATAGCACCTTGTCATGAGAGAGCATTAAGCTATTGTTCTGTGGTGGCAAGAAGAGAAAAATGAAAGAAAACAGAGGAGGCTACAAAATGAGAATTAGAAGCAGTGATCTTAGAGTTGCATGTGGGAGGGGATGTTGAAAATTAAAGATAAGTACAATTGGAGGGAGAAAAGCATGTAAGTTGTGGTGTGTGTGTGTATGTGTGTGTGAAGAAAACAAAACAGAAAAGGAGACTAGAAAGAAACTAGAAATAAAAAAAAAGGACTAAAGAAAAATTAATATTGCTCTTTAGTACTATTATTTTTGTAATGAGCATCACCAATACAGCATAAATGAATGAAAGAAATATTAAGACAAAAAAAAAGTGCTCCTTGACAGGATGTATCATCGATACTGCAGGTATGCCTAAACAAATGAAACTACATTCCTTAGTTCCACCAGTTCTAGTGTTCACAGTTAAGACCGGTCATACCACACACATTGTAGTGAACCACCCCCATTTCCTATTATCCGGTTAACACTCCTCTCCAGTCTTTTGAACAGAAGAAGTCTATTCCTTGTTTCCGGTTCTTTCTAAAATCTACTTCAACTTGACAATGTCTCTGCCTAAACTCTGAAATATTTTTTACTATTTATTTATTTCATTTTTTCCTCAATAGGAGTAGATAAGTTTGCCTATCGCCCGTTTCACACTCCTCCCCGGTTTTTTAACAGGAGTAGAGGTTTATCCCTTGTTTCCTGTTTAGGATTGGGCTTCTGGTTCCTTCTAAAAACTTTTACTCCCAGTATCCTTAGTGGCATTATAGCCTTGCTTAGGGTGAATTGATTAAAAAAAAAAAAATTCCATTGGTGTGATGTCAGTTCCACTTAAACAGCTTGAATTGCTACTTTGTGAAAGTGACTCCCAAGAGGATGCTTCCTTGAACACTACAATCTAAACCTTTTCAATCTTAGGGTTAACTGTTATCTTCCCCACATATCCCATAAACCCTCTACCTTGTATGGCTCTTGGGTCTTGTACAGGGTGAACATTATTGTAAAAAAAGAAATAAAACAAAGGATGTGCTCCTTGATAGTATGCATAAAATCAAGGGAGGACACTCATAATAGAAAAAGAAAAATACTCTAAAGATGGAATGAATACATCGAACACTTTCATGTCAACAGAGTTCTAGTGATATCTGTGAATGAGATCATTCCAAGGAAAGAAAGAAAAAAGAAATGTTGTTAGGATTATGCTTATCTATATAGTGAATGTCAGTGTGTCACTGTGTCACACTTTTCCAACTTTACTCCTAGAGGCTGTAGCCCAACATATCATACCATTTTCAAATAAGGCTGACTCTGTGAGCAAATTAAAAACATTCCAGGTCATGATTTTTACGTGATTTTTTGTAGCAATTTTTTTTATACAATAACAATTTTTATAACTTGGAAATAAATTTAGGAATAATCAAAATTAATTGAGAAAGCCAGCAAAATTCACTCCTGAAATAAAAATAATTGTTTGTATGGAAAGTAAGGACCTACATACATCAAATTGTCTTTAAAATAAGTGGCAGCAGAAGAAGAATTATTGTTGAACTTTTAAAAGGTAAGCTTAGATATTAATGCAATATTTCAATGCAGGAATCGATTTTGAGTTCTTCTGTAGTTTATTGTTGCCTATTGCATCTACTCCTCCCTACCTACTATGATGAAGGCCCAATCAAGAGGCTTCCTCAGGGACTAGCTGTACTATCTCACTGTATAAGTTAAATAAATCCAATGAGATAATGCGTGCTGGTCTTACGCCCTTTTATATTTTTGTGTATTTCCTCATTTATTTTCTATCCATATGCAGGTGGTTTACTTCCAATAATTATTCCAGATTATTTTAATATCTTTTCCTAAATCAAGTTTACCTAACAATTGATTATCTACCACTCTTTGTTATTGTATGCTGTTTTTTTCCATCATTTTAAGAATTTAATTTAATATGTTATCTACTTCTGTGTCAGAGCAGGTGTCTGCAAGAGGGATTGGCTAGCTGCCTTAATTCACAGGTATACTTGGATATAAGTGGCCAGCCATTAATAAAATAAATAGAAATTTAACTATCTTGAAAGTGTCATTAATGGATGATGAAAAATGTGACAGAGAAAGTTGAAATCTAAGCAAAATATTAAGTAACAAGTAAATTTTATTGTAAACAAAAAATGAAAATGCTCGTGCAACCCTCACACCACTCACTCCCAGCTATGTCTCTTCTCCTCTAAGTTGTTAGCATTGTTGAGTAATAATACCAACCTTACGGGTCATCTGGCTTTCTTTTCCCTCCTTGGTTGGGGTTGGTGAGTGGTGAGTCTTTTCAATAGGGGTGATTCAGGTTTCTTAAAATCTTACAATACTGGAAATAGAATAGCCTAAGATCAGGGCTGGTATGTCCTACAAGAGGGAATAAAGTCTGATTGGGGACCCCAGGCTGTGCTTTTTTTGACACTTGCTGTCTTATCAACATTTGCTTTCTTTCTACCTAGATTTATATGAATGCTATCTCATGAAAATTGAGATGTAGTAGAGTGGGGACCCCTAGAACATAGATTTTTTTTTTTTTTTTTTTTTTTAAATATCAATAAAAAAATGATCAGTTCAATAATTCGATACCTATCTTTGGATTTGCCTTAGCGTCCATATTTTTTTTATTTTAAATTTATTATTTTAATTTAAATTATTAAGTAGTTCGAATAGTTTCAATTCAAAGATATTTCCATTCCATTTATTTTTTAATACCATGATGAAATGAAATCCTAAATTTTGGTTATTATAGTATTATTTAATTATCCAGGCGCATTTACTAAGTTTGTGAATGCTTAGGAAAAAAATCGGGGATAACTGGTGACAAAGTAAACCTAGAAAGGTTGGCCTAGTTAAAAATATCGCCTTGAATTATTGTCGGTCTTGTCAGATGGTTACATATAAACTTGCAAAGGGAGACGCTTAAAATGCGTTCTCTTCTCTCTCAGAGAGCAATCTCACATCTGCTTTCCTGTCGTCTCTGACAGAGGCAATTGAGCCTGCCCAAGCAGTAGAAAGTTTGAGACTCCCCACCCCACACTTCGCGTGAAAATTTGGTAACGAAATATGTTGTTGTTGTTGTTGTTGTTGTTACTGCTGCTCCTGATAACACCGACCTCTTTATTATTGTTGTGATTCTAGCTTCAGTTATTATTTTGGGTCCTTCAACATGTGCGAGTTTTCTAATTCGGATACGGACCTGAGCCCGTATTTTTCTTACGATTTTTGTTAGTTTTAACATTAGTTTAAAAATGTATTACAAAAATATAATTTTTGTTAACTTTTAAAAACTCTATTACAAAGGACATGTTGAGTTGAAATCTAAAAAAAAAAAAAAATGTATAAAATTGTAGTACCATTCCATATTCTCTAGTGATTTGTTTTTTGACTTTTTTTCTGTATTTTTCACGGAGTATATTCTTTATAACTTAGTGGAACTTTACTTACCAATTGTCCTGTGGAAAAAAAATCTAAATTTTCTTTTACCGAAATTATTGTTCTTAATTTTTAACGGATCAACACGATGTCTGTCAGTTCGCAGCAACCACTTTTAGGAAGTTGGGGTAAGAAAAATAATTTTTATTATTATATTTCTAACTTCTTGCTCTTTTTAGGCGATCTATAGTACAGTAGTTTGTTTACGACACAGACAAGGTGTCAGTATTTGTGTCTCGGTGAAAGGTCAATGTTTGTAAAATGTTGATTAAGACAGGCTCCTGAGTTCCATATCTGGAAATTTTGGGCATCTTTAATCTTTTTTTTTTTTTTTTTTTTTTAAAACTATCTAGCAGCCTATGTGTACTTGTAAAATATTGGATATGACTGTGTGTACATGAAATATGAAAATAACTACAAAGAATTTCAGGAGTAATTCTTCTTTTATGTGCTGTGTCTCTTTAGGACGTGGGTAATCATGGCTCTCCACAACTTTCTGTCCTTTGTAGCTCTTAGCAATTTTTGTCTTTTTAGTTTTTCATTAAACAGAAGCCATCCATACGCAACTTTGTTTATGTGACATGCGATTTCGCTCTTTCCCTCAATGTCTCGTGAGTGACGAATTTTTCAAGCTTTTAGTTTTTTTTTTTCGATATTCGATTCAAAAGAATAGATTTTGTTGTAATTTAGATTTAAAAAAATATTTTTCACTATTATAGAAATAAACATCAAAAGGAAAAAAACTCAAAATGATTTTAAGAATTATTTTTATGTTTTTAAATTAAATGTTTAAAAAATATTTTTTTTTTAAATAAAATAAATATTTGATTTATTTGTAACACAGTTTATTTTTTTTTAAATTGTATTCACCGCGAATTAAATTCGCGTCACTTTTCTTGTGCTTTCTTTGAAATAGGAACCTTTTTTTACTCAGGTTCGTCCCATGCCCAAGAGGGAGCTGCTCCCTTTCACGAAATGTTACCCATCTCACTGTGAAAATGATGTTATTGTTAACTAATCGTAGTGTATTGTTACTTAAAGCCCTCCACAACCACAAATTGGCGACAGCCTTGTCTTTTTTTTTTTTTTTTTTTTAAATGGGTCTGGGTGGGGAATAAACATAAGAAAAACGCATTTGAAAATCACTTGACTCTTAGTCTTAGCAAATCTATTACATCTTGACAAGAAAGATAAGCTACGGCGAAAATATTCTTGAAATATAGACAATTCTGATCACGTTGATAATGATTATTACAAATTGATAAATTCTTGT